GCATCGTGACCCTCGAGAGTGATCTAGAAATGTTCACTTGGGGGTTGCTCATGCTCTTACAATATTAAAGATTGCCTGTTAAATTATCAACGAACCTGTGAGAAACTCGAAAAATGGATTTCCTGAATTATTTTTTTAATTTTTAATTAAAACATAGAATGAACAAATAGTTAAAAATTTAAAGAAATTTAGTGCTAAAAAGGAAGAAAACGTCATGAGGTGGCTTGATGATATGCAAGTTCAGTTTGATGCCAATGGGTGGTCTGAGGAAATCAAATTAACAATTCTATTAATAGTTTCAGTAGATAATGCATTAAAGTGGTATGCAAAACACTCAACATCGACTACATCATGGAAAATGTTTTTGCAATTAACTAAACAAGAATATGGATCAAAATAGCACATCTAATATGATTAATCACTATCCTAGTAAATGTTCTTGATACAAGTACTTGATTACCTGATGAGTACTTGGAAAGTGCATGACAAGTTAAGTACTTGGCCTTGTATTTGAGCAAGAACTATTTTAAAGAAGTAATTTACTTGCATTAGACCAGTCAAGTACTTACATTTTACTTGTCAAGTACTTTCTCAAGTACTTGACAAGTAAACTTACTTGGAAAAGTCTACAAGTACTGCCCTCATTACTTAACCCAAGCACTTGCGCAAGTACTTGGTTCAAGTATATTCACTCGGATAAGACTTGAACGGGCTTTCATTTATAATAGGTTCCAACGCTTAGGTAAAAACCAATACAAGGCCTGAAACACCATTAGCAAAGCAAGCTGAAGTTATTTAAAGCATCTTAATTCTTGCGAAATTCAAATCGTTAATAAATGTTTATACTGTCACATATTTTATTATTCATAAGAAATGTCCAAAGGTCACAAAAGTCAAAAATCATCGTCACTGATATTGAGTATATTCGCCAATGGTGTTCGACACTAAAACACAGTAAAACATTCACCATCTTAGAGGAAACGTACGAGATGGTAGAGGCGTACTTGAGTAACTTTTGTTGGTTTTTTAACTAATTTTGTCTGGACTATTTTTGTTGAATTTGTTGGCTACAAGTAAAGAGAGAGGAAGGATTGATAGTTGAAAATAATAACCATATAGTGTATAATTACCGTCTCTTTATCCAAAACGTTTGGCTTTTTTGTACCCGACTTTTTGATATTCTTTTCCAGTTTTGATGCTTCTCTCAATTTTTCCATATTAGGTTTTGGTTGGATAATTGGCAATCCAGCATTTCGTTTTGCAGCCAATATGTGGCTACAATCGCCGCCTTTCTTGTTGATCCGGAAGAACGGACATGTGCACGTAGATATCGAATGATTATGTTTATCGATCTGTCTATAATCCACCATTTGAACTTCGCTTTTAGCTTTGTTCTCCACGATCCATACCCCTAAACAACCGAAAACGAAAGACAACGTGCAAGTAGAACCTTTATTTGTGTGATGCAATAACTACGAGCTAATCTGTCAAATCTAACAGTATCATCACTGACAAATATTTCAGACAATTGAAACGCTGTTAATGGTTTCAGTTTGTCTTCCTGGACGGGTACATCTTTAAATTCATTATCCAATCGTCTTAAGTTGTTAATGATTCCATTTGGATTAATCAGATCCAATGTTAACAAAACCGATTTGTCCATCGCCAACATACCAAACTCCTCACGCAATCGATAGTCACCTGAAGTTAAAATAAATCGAATTAAGCTGAGGCCCGAAAATTCTGAGCTTTAGCAGCTAACATACCAAGATCACAATATCTTCGATAAATCTCTGTCCCATAAAACTGTTGAAGCTTATTGAGTATCAACACAAGACAATCCAGCGTCACTGAGCACCATGAAGTTAGCTCCTTGAAGACGAAATTTACGCCTTCAGCCGCATTACTTGTCACCATCTTCGGAAATTCACGTTGTAAATTATGCAAATTTACAGCCCAACGTCGTTTGAATGATATAAAATTCACCTTCATGTAGATAACAAATACAATAAACGAGACATCTATTCACTTTAAACCATCATCTAAAATCCATGGTGTTTGCTGACAAAAGTTCCGAACTTTTATATTATCCATCACTGAAAGACCATTTTCAGCACCTTCGATCTCCAATTCCCCTTGACATGGACCAGGCACTTTTAGAATATCGATCACCGAAACATTATTTCAGATTCAGTGGTCTCTGTTGACATAGACCAGGCACTTCTAGAATATGCATCTCTAGAATCATTTCGAAAACTAGTGGTTTGTGTTGACCATCGGTGTTGACATAGACCAGGCATTTTTAGAATATCGATCATCGAAACATTATTTTAGAATGAGTGGTCTGCGTTGACGGTCTGTGTTGACATAGACCACGCACTTTAGAATATCGATCAAAATATGTCGATTACAGCAAACAGTTTGGTACTAAATGAGACGTTCTGTAGCTCGGATTGAATCTTGATAACTGATGTATACTGCCGGTTGCCCCAGCTGCTGTTTTTATCTGGCGCGTACGTTATTTGGTACTGCGAAAGGTATATGGTCTTATTTTAGCTTATATGCGTGGTCACAATAGCATAGAGGATAGTTGTGAAATACTGATTTCGAATATTGTAGAAGCGTATTAGAAAGTTGCTCTAATTTAAATAAATAATTTTTTGTATAGTAGTGCATTTGTTTTGGAAAGTAATGTATCTCATAAGAAGAACGACATTTTTCTGAAAAATAGTGATTTTGTGGCACTAATTGTAGGATAACTAAATCAAATATCGAAGAACTAACTTCAGCTGTGTCATCCACGACTCTTCTAGTTTCTCCCAAATGTGCACGATAAGAGGTAACAGAGAACGAGAGGCTGATTCGAAGTAGAAAGTAGGTATAGAAGAAAGAACAAAGGAAGAAGAATTTTTTGTAGTGAAAAAGAATATATCATACCTAATTCGTCTATATCTGGTAGAACATGAGCATCGAAGTATTTGATAAAATGTTTCGTCCAACTTTTTTGGGCATCTGGCAATTGATATTGAAACTGGTCGTTGGACGATAATGAAAGGAGCCATTTGATGTCCGTTATATAGCGCCGGGCTGTTTACCTTCGTGTTTCCGGAAGATGTATGACGACTGCACTGTCTTCGTTGTTTGGTGGACACGATTGTTGAGCATAATCATGTTCATTGTTGATGCAAGTATGTGCGTGTGGTGGCGCTGATAGCTCGGCGGCTAGCAGATGAGCAATTTCTTCGTCGATCTCTTCATCTGCCAGTTCATCTTCTTCGATCGTTGGATCATCTTCTGTGGAATTTTGCTCTTGTAATTCTTCCACTTGTTGTTCCACTTCTTGATGAATGAAATGGTAAAATTAGACAGAAGACAAGAGCTATTCCGGTCGTATATACCCATTTCATGATTTTCACCCGTTTGTTTCTTTGTGAATGAACAATATTTCACCGTCTGACGATAAATATTTCGATACAGATGTGTATGACATCGCAGTTGTATTAGTTTTGGACTATAATATATAAACAATTGATCAGGTAGGAGTGTTAGATAACGGTTAACGAAAGAGCTAAAGTATTGTTCAATCAGCTGATAGTTTTGTAACTGAGGCTCGTGAGATTTTTCAAAAATATGATGACGACAATATTCTTAACACGGATCAGATAGGAATAGAACTAGAACTTCATTCTAATCGTACACAGTCATATCAAGGCGAGAAGACGACTGTCGGGTGTGTACGTTCAATCAGTCCAACAACACATTCATATGCTGTTCAACAAATAATCAGTCTTGGTGGGCATCTAATCGGGCCAGTTTTTGTTTGTTTGAAAGAAGTTAAAGGTAAAATGTCTGACAATATCAAGGTGCATCTGTTCAAACCAGACAATGTTGTCTGTACATGTAGTGCCTCTGGAAAATTAACAGCTTCGTTAGTGGAGTATTGGAGAGACCATGTTCTCGCACCGTCTCTGTCGAAAAATTCTAAATACCTATTGCTTTCCAACTCGTGGTGAACACAAGGAGCTAAAACTCTCCACGAAAATTTAAAAAACCTCGAACGTCTAAATTTCTCCAAGAACGACATTGTTAATACAATCTTTGGATGTCTATTTTAATGGACAATGGAAGGCTATCGCTAGGAAAGCCTATAATCGAGTGCGATCAGATAAACTCAACATCAATATGAGTGAACGAAACAATATCATACGTCTGCAGTAGTTGATTCATAATCAAATGAGCAGTTCTATATTTGTTCCTATGATAAAACGCGCATGGTACGCCAGCGGCTACTCGAAAGAAAATCCGGGTCCATTTCAAAACGTTAAGGAAATTTGTTTTTCTTTTGACCGCGAAAAATGTGGCGAACAATTATGCGACCAGTCGCCTTTCATGATATGGAGTCACTGCTGAAAAGACCTATGTTTCGATCACTTTTTCGTCAGTTATCACATTCACTAAACTGTCATGCAGAAATAAACTAAAAACTCGTTTTTACTTGTTCTAATGATCGAATCGAATGTTTCAGCTTTTCCATCTTTCAGATCAGCAAAGAAAAGGGCTTCAGCAACCTTTACACAACTCTCAAAATGATCTATAGAAAAACGCGTAAAACACTTCAGTGTGTAAATATTTTGGATCATAAATTTTTCTTTTGATATATATTAGTATTATAATTCAAGCACAACAACCAATTTATCTACATTTTTGGTCCTAAACTTGAAACCTTCATATCTCAACAAAAAAGACCCATGGGGAGAAATCCTTTTAGGGTTGTTCTAGTCCCACTAAATCCTACTT